TAATTCAGGGAACTGGAGCACAGATCCAATTCCCTAGATCAAGAGCCCCTCACCAGCGTCAAGGAGCCTTCCTTGAGGGGACCCCCAACAGAAGCACCCCATCTGAAACACCCTCCCAACAGAAGCACCCCAACTGAAACACCCTCCCAACAGAAGCACCGGCAACAGAAGCACCTATAATAAGACCTCTGGTAGCGGGGGCTACTGATTTCCAGTTGTCGAGGCACAACATAACCAGTGTCTACCGTCATTCAAGGTACGTAACCACTTACCTCCTGTGAGAAATTACTTGGAAGAAGTGTACAGATATTAACCCATTGCCCACCGCAACCATACTAATATTAAATTATAAACTTCAATACCAGTAACTCTGGTGAATTATAATATAGTGAACTGTATTAGATTATTTGTGACGAGTGAGTAAGGTGATGAGTCCACTGTACATTTTATCTTTATACATATGGTGTATAATTATCATAAAAGTATTTAAGAAAAATTTGATATACCCTCTTACCATTAATACTGCTGGTGAAACACCCTAAAGCTACCATAACAGCTGGAAATTACGAGGCACACGTATTATTATTATTATTATTATAATCAAGCGAGGCACACGTAAAAACTATGAATTACGGGTAAGCGTTACTTAGGGTGTTGCAGGGAAGCCACCGACGTCCTCTATTTTCCATTCCTACCACTATTATAGTGGTTTCGTAAATTTTTTGTCCTTATTCTTCAGCGGGGGACATTAATAAAGGTCCCGATTACAAACCCAGGCCGAAACACACGATTATGGCTTCGATGACGCCCGATTCAATTAGACAATTGTCGCACCCACCGTACACAGATTAATTAATCATGGCGTCTCTTCTGTATCATTCCGCGTCCACTTCTCTTCACTCGAAATTTCTAGCTCAACTCAGAGCCTCAATTTTACACATATTATTCAGATTTAGATTTAGAAAAATTACAAAACAATTTCCACACCTTCCAATCAGCTAGATTTTGATTATTGGCTATATTTATGGGAAGTGCTAAACTTTTACGGGTTATGCAGTGTTTGGGAAAAGGAGAAGTTATCAAGTTTTAATTTAAGGATTGTGTGGCTTGATGTAGTTAAATAAATTCTTCGCTGGCATCAGCACATCAAGTAGCTACAAACATACAGCATAATTTTAGTTTATAAATTATCTTTGTACTTAGCTTGGTATTACTGAGTAATTGTTTATTAATGTATGTTTTATTGTAATTAAATTTTGTCGCCTTATTCAAATACTTTTAAATGACATTTTTAAGATAAAGGTAATAGAAACTGCTCGCTTCCTCTCTCTCCCGTTCGCTCCCTCTCTCCTGCTCTGTCTCTCTCTCTCCCTCTCTGCCTGTCCCTCCCTCCCCCTCTCTGCCTGTCCCTCCCTCCCCCTCTCTGCCTGTCTCTCCCTCCCTCTCCCTCTCTGCCTGTCTCTCTCTCTCCCCCTCTGCCTGTCTCTCCCTCCCCCTCTCTGCCTGTCTCTCCCTCCTTCCCCCTCTCTGCCTGTCTCTCCCTCCTCCCCCTCTCTGCCTGTCTCTCCCTCCCTCCCTCAAATTGTCAATGCATAGGAATATCCTTTTGTTCTGTAAATTTCTTGCCCTTGGCCACTTGTTACATGAGAAAGCGAGTGAGAGAGCAAGAGATTGAGTAAGAGAGAGAGAGAGAGAAGAGAGAGAGAGAGAGAGAGAGAGAGAGAGAGAGAGAGAGAGAGAGAGAGAGAGAGAGAGAGAGAGAGAGAGAGAGAGAGAGAGAGAGAGAGAGAGAGAGAGAGAGAGAGAGAGAGAGAGAGAGAGAGAGAGAGAGAGAGAGAGACTGACTGTTTCCTTGTCTGACTTACCGGAGATTTACTGCCTTAAGAAGCAGCCAGGATCCCTTGTAATACATCCGCGGAGAGGAAATAGAAACTGAAAAACTTCTGAGGGTTTGTGTTGGTTGGGAAATATAGGAAAAAATTTAAGTACATGCCCCTCAAGAGGAAGGTGTATAGAATAGGCTGTGTGGGGAGTTCACGACTGGGTAGGGTTAATGGTCTCTGTTTTGGTTATGAAATCCTCCGGGGCCTGCCGCTTCACCCCAGACTAAATGAAAGGAATAAGAATCTATCTCTACTCTGCACAGGTAGTGTAGAAGTGATAGACCGTGGCTTTACCTAGGCTCTCTCTCGTGAGGGAGTTAACCTGCCTTGACGCAGACCCCACTGAACAAGTGTGCACTCTATACAACTGGTATACTTACATGCAAGGTGTTACCTGTTTGGGGAGTCACTGGCCACAGTCTCTCCTTAGTGAGCTTATCCAGGTGATACGAGTAATCCTGGATAATGTACAAGGAGTGATATGGTCCCGTGTCTCCCACTACTTAAGCCTGACTCTAACACCAGCAGGCACCCGCTTGGTGGTCCAAAAGGGGGAAGGGCAAGGGCCCCGGTAATGCCCAGGGCGTATATTGTGTGGGACACTTATGGAACTAAGCTAAACCCTTGTCTAACTCTAACTTAGTGTTAATTAATGTAAGTATTACTAGCTAAATCTACAAATAAAGTCTATGTACAGAATTGACACATCACTAGGTGTCTTCCCCTTCACACCCCCCCCATCTGAGTGATAGCTATAACGATTTCTGGAAAAATCAAGATATATTTTTCACAAGGGACAGAGTGCCTTGCTGCAGGTGAAAGGCTTTTGATCTAAGAAATTGGAGCTGCCTTTTCCCTGGATCAAAATTTATTGCCTACCAATCAGGCGCTGCTGACTCGTACTGCAAGGCACAGGCAAGACAAATAGTGAAAACTATCGTTATACTCGGATTCAGATGTAACATACAACACCTAGTAAAAACATATGAACGAATGAATATGCTCTGTAACCCCAGTTTACAGTAGTCTGGTGGCTAACGATCTTGCTTCACACGGCAAGGGCCTGGGTTCGATTCCCAGCCAGAGTAGAAACATTGGACGTGTTTCTTTACACCTGTTGTCTATGTTCCCCATCAGTAAAATGGGTACCCGGGTGTTAGTCGACTGGTGTGGGTCGCATCCTGGGACACGACCAAATTTGCCCGAAATGCTGAGCATAACAAGGGACTTACTATATAGTAGTATGTCATTGATGTCAGCTAGGCCTGTATACCATATACATGTACTTGTAGTAAATAAAGATATTATTATTATTATTACATGCACTATCCCACATAGGTAATGAATTCTCCCACTCATTCCTCCCCATCCACCAAGCCATGTACTTCCACTGACAAATGAAAAATATAAACTGTAGGGAGATAATATGCAGATCATTCCCCACCTTCTCCACTCCAAAAAATTGTCATTGAGGGAGAAGCAAATTTAATAACAGTAAATGATAAATATTTTTTATTAACACATCGGCCGTCTTCCACCAAGGCAGGGTGGCCCGAAAAAGAAAAACTCATCATTCACTCCATCACTGTCTTGCCAGAGGGGCGCTAACACTACAGTTATAAAACTGCAAACATTAACACCCCTCCTTCAGAGGGGTGATAAATGTTGTCACAAATACGGCAGGAACAAACGTTATCAACATTGAGAGAAAAAAAAATAAATGAAACAAGTTATTCACTAATAAGAGGGAAAAGGGATTAAGACAAACTGGCCAAAGTGAAGGAGAAACTATTATAATTATGAAGTAGAAACAAATGTAATCACAATACAGAGAGGGATATATGTAATGTATCGACTAGAACTAAACTTTATTTTCCAAGTGACACATTATAATGAAGCAGAGACAGGTTAGCTTAGGTAAGGTTTGTCAGGAAACAGGACAAACGTTTCCTGACATGGGTCTTAGTCATATGATGACCCGCAGATGGAGCTTTTGGTCATATGACCGAGGTCTTTCGCTGGCTTACAGGTCCACCCCTTTAAAAATTAAGGTTACAATTATAGCCTAGTATTGATGCAGAGATACAGACAGCACGTTATAACATCCCTACCTTGTCATGGGAAGAGGCAACACAAGGCCACAATTTAATAACAATCAACTTGTCACTGTCTCCAATAACATTTTCAGAATGAGTTTCAAATCTAATATTGCATCTTGGGTCCAAAGTTACCCTCTCTCCACAGGTGTCAGTATTGCATGGGACGAAAATTCTTTCCCTTTATTTCTGTCATATTATTTCTATCACTATTTCCTAGTGACTTTTCTATTGAGAAATCATAATTGCATTATATTAGGCTATGCAGGTGAGATGCATAGTATTATCACAGCTGATAGGACACTTGGTAAAATACTAGACGTGCTTCAGTAGGTCCTAGAAAAGTATCCCTGTTTTCCAAAAGCCCAGTCATCCCTCTCTCACTGCGCCAGGATTGCTTCAGGATTCTCTAATGCAGTTAAATATTGGCGACAAAAATTTAAGTCAATCAGAAATGGTCTAATCCATACAAATAGAATTCAACAGAATAAAGCTTACAGCCAAGTTAAACCTGTAGCCCAACTTGCATAAATGGGTTATCAGTAGGATCTGTAGGCCCTCCCCTCCCAGCAATGCTTCTATCTCGCAGTACACCCACGGTGACCTCACTGACACAACAACTCCCTTGACTAACCTCGTTTAATTTGCTTGTTGTGCATCCCTATGTAGTGGCTGGAGACTCATTTTTTGCAGGCGAATCTTCTCTGTAATTGTCTTCTTCACTAATTGTCAGCTTTGCGCCATTTGTCTCCACCTCTATTAATTAACCATATTAGTAAATTGGCAAATTTGCATTTACACAGCTTAAACTTGTAGGATACCATCCTACAAGTTAATTACCGTCAGCTCTTCGCAATTTCTCTAAGTTACACGAGTCATCTACAGTTTGAATCCGTTCACAGGTCACCGGTTCAGAAAAGGTGACATATTACCAAGAACAAAGAATCCCATATACATTATAATTATGGGGGAGCGCTAAACCAGTAGGATTATACAGCGCCTGTGGGGGGGTGAAAGGTATTCAGGCTCAATTCAGGGAACTGGAGCACAGATCCAATTCCCTAATCAAGAGCCCCTCACCAACGTCAAGGAACCTTCCTTGAGGGAAATCCTATGTACAATGGTCCTTAATCATATAACTAAAACTGGTACAACTGTACCACTACCTGAACCATTACAAACTCACGTCTGGTAAAATTTTTACATCGGATATGTAAAAAAACAAGAACAGTTTTACACTCGAGTAATTTTATTAAAATAACACCATTTGTGTGTAGCCACTGATGAGTTGAAACTTCTCTCATCTATACATGAATCTAGCACAACCAACACAGCCTACAAACATTCCCCCTTATGTTATGTGGGCTGTTTTAGTATGTCTGGGGGTCTATGTGGAGGTAATGGTAAGTCACTCGACTGATAGGAGGTTGTGTATGGGATTTATTACAGTACGGAGATCAGTCTTATTTCTAGGTTCATAAAGGATTTTTATTTTTCGATATTTTTATATAGTGTTTTCACTTGATGTTATGAAACCGAAAGTCAATCATATTGGAGATATTTTTCCGAGTAATTAACATCTTTAATAAGGGCTTTAGCAGATTTTTGTTGAGATAATTGTAAAACACATTATTATAATCAAAAAGAAGCGCTAAGCCACAAGGGCTATACAGCGCTGCTGTAAACACAAGTTTTGAAGTTCTTACACAAATTCTGCACCATTATTTAGTGCTGGGAAGGTGGCAAATGGTATTCTGCATTGCTTTCTTTTTCCTGATCTTATGAAACGTTCACATTAAAGGCTTGACATTTTTCATGCTACTCGCTAAAATTTATATGAATTGTTCTAATATTTCTTAATTCTTTGAACCTTAGGACCCAGAGCCATAGTCTGAGGCTCCCTGTTTCTTGGTCGAAGTTCGTAAGTTCGAACCTTTCACAAGCTAGGAAAACCTAGAAAAAGTTTTATTTAGTTGATCCTGGGACGTAATTTTCTGAAAAACCATAGCTAATTTTGGTAATACTCACTTGGATCCAGATCTGAATAAATGTTGACACGTTTGGTAGCTCATATTTTCTGTTGGTTATGGTACAAGAGTAATTCTGTCCTGCTTAAGCAGCGGTATTTACTTTAACTTTCTGCTTATGAATTCAACTCAAAGAAGTATATGAATCCTGAATTACTTATTTATAACAAGTACTAGTTAGTGAATCTGTCAGATATCTGTTACATGCATGTTTACGTATATTTTTCAGGAATGAGAAAAAGTGTATAAGACTGTTTACTAAACACGTTTATACGTCGACTATATGAGACACGTAAATTAATCTTTGTTTTGACTAGGCCTTTGTCGTTCATCCTAGTTTTCTCAGCCACAAACACTTTTTGTAGCCTTTTTAAATCCCCTGATAAATACGAAAAAATTAGTTGACGATTTATTTCTAAATCATTGCTGGTAAGTTAATTTATCGGAGCTCTCAATCATTTCATATGGATATTTTCCTCCATCAGCCTGAATTTTCTTGTATCAGCTTTTCTGCATGTCAAGACGACCTCGGTACAGTCAAGCTTCTTTCAATTTTTTTTTCGAAAGTTATAATAATTCACTGCAGCAGCTCCAATATGGTCGCTTATACGAGTTACTGAGTAAATCGTGATGTGTAAACACTACACAGATCTGTCGACTCCTACTTCACTCTGTCATAGAAAGTATGCAAGTTTTTGCATCATGTAGCAAACAGCTTTGAGTACCTGTTAAATGTATTTATACACTATCAATTTTTGATAACTAATTTTTTTAATGAAGATTAACTAAGCATCATATACAAATGTTGCATACTTATTAGAATTCCCAATACACAAATGATACGGCTAATATTTTTTTTCTGTAATAATAGATGCGTCGATTTCTAAGCTCTTCTGTATACACAAGTCTTGATTGTCAGTTATGTTGATATAGCTGATCAAACTTCACTCTTCATATTCAGTGGTTTGTAGTTATTTGCTTTGTCAGTATAATTATACCACTTAAGCTTCCCTGGAAGATAATGCTAAGGCCTCTAACAACACTATTTTTTTATCAAAGTGAAAAGTTGCCAATAATTTAGGCCAAAAACACTTGATATTGTAATATTACAATATTACTAGTATTATAATTATTATTAATATATTATAAATCTACAACGTTCAGTCAGGTACATTGAAAAAGTTATTCTTAAGTCTAAGGTGTAATTTCAGTTCTCCCTCTTAAGTATCTTGTACAAATTTTACGATACAGTTCCCTCCCCCTCACTATTCTGTTACCGTTTCACTCGCTAAACAAACTCAAATATTCTTAAAAAAGGACTTAGAATAACCTTAAATTGCTAGGATGATCGCGGAGTCTCAAATCTTATAATATTGTGGGTTCCTATCTAGAAAAACATCAAAGTTAGTGGGCACCTCCTTGTAAAACAACGCTTTGCTGTTGACGAAATCTTGATGCCCTGTAGTGTGAGTTTGGCTTGTATTAATAAACTGGAAGAGAGTGAATAAACTTCCGGAGTTATGCGTAGGTAGAGAGCAACGTACATTAGAGATTTGCGAAATAGACCCTGATAACCTCTCAGCTAAGTAAAAAATAGATATACATTTTTATCTGTTTATATCCAGTAGAAATTTGTCTGCATTGACATCTTACCGTATACGTCTGACACGCAGGCACACGTGCGTACACACACACACACACACACACACACACACACACACACCTGTATAAGACATGTTGCATCCTCTTACTCTATATTAACTTCGAATGCGCCCAACGTCTTCATATGAAAATACTTCACTATAACGTAGTTCATAGTTATTAAAATCTTACTGTAAAATACTATATAAAATGTTACCAGTTTGAAATTGCTTTATAAAAACACCCGCAAACACTGATGGGTAATTAACGTGGTGTATGTGAGTGAATATGTTTGTATCTTCAACTATATCTGGGCTTTTCAGTTGCCTCTTCCAGTGTCTGCTGTATCACCTCAGACGATGAAACACGCAAATTTTCTTTCATTAGTGAAAGACGAGCACTTCCTGTACACGTTGTGTCACTTCACATATTGATAATGCGCAAATAACACGAACACATCCTATTTTGGTAAATTTATGTTCTTTTAGCCTCTTGTGTTGCATAAGTCAACCAGTAGACTGTCAAGTATTTGTTACGCTTGCTTGAAGTGAGTTTTAATGTAAACATTCAGTATGGGTGATACTATACGTGAACATTCGCTACAGGTGACACTATATATGAATATTCACTACAGATGATACATACTATATATGAACATTCATTACAGGTGATATTTGCTACATATGAACATTCACTACCCACTATGTATGAGACCTACAACATATGAACATTTCCGAAAGGTGATACTACACACGAGCATTCGCCACAGATGATGCCTAATAGCCTACATATGAACATTCGCTACATGGTGAACTATCACTGCAGAAAAGATGTGTCCGCTGGACCTGGCAGCGTTTGATATGGTAGAATTATCACTCGTTGTTTTGTTTGTATTTCTCTTAGTGGCCTTGCCGTGTGCTTGTCTTGGGTTGAGGCTGGTATTGCTAGACAGAGGCTTTCTATTGATGGCACCGTTGGAGCCGAATCTCCTTACGTCTGAGGTGCCCCCCTCCTGCTCCCCAACTACCGTAGGTGGAGCAGATAACTCGCAGTTCCGTAATTTAGACCTCTGTCCGTAAGGGCACAATACATCCAGGTCATTCACTCTATATTCCACTACAGGAGATAGTTTCTCGTCCTGAATGACGCCTGAACACTCAATCTGAAGACGGATGTCAGTTGAAGAGCAAGCGTTCTTCTTAGTTCTACGTACTTCGGGACTTGAATGCGAGCAGGTGTTCAGCGAATACTTGCGAATCTCGGGACTCGAGTCGTAGGAATGGTGGGCGTCTTGGTCGAGGAAGGAGACACGGCGGCCGTGTTGCACGTGAGTGCTAATGGAAAATGGGAGGTCAGCCTCCGTGACGCCATGAAGTAGCGGGGTAGAGAAGTTGAGGGTATAACGAAGGTCAACTATTCCATCATCCTCCGTCTCCGTCCGCGGCTTAATGGGACTTCTCTTCACTAATCTGGAACGCTGGAGAGGATGAGGCGAGGCAGGAAAAGCTCCGAGTCTGGGAGAGCCTTCTTCATCATCATCCTCTTCTGCTTGTCTCCTTGCTTCTTCTTGGTCTTCGTGAAACTTCCGAGCGTCGAAGAATATTTGCGAGCGTCCGCACGATGCAGTCTCTCCTTCGTCTTCGGCGCCGTCAGCAGGAAGGCGGGTGTCTGAAGGCCGTCGAGCAGGGCAGCCCAGAGTGAGGGAGGGCAGGGACCTGTGGAGGGAGCGGAACATTCTCTCCCTCTTCACCCTCCTGACGGTGGTATCGTCACTTTGCAGGTACTGAGTGTGTGCTGTCCCTCCTAGTACCTCACCAAACACACTATCTCTGTCCCCACCCTCGCCTTCAGGAAGGCCTTCGTCTGCCATGCCATCAATGCCGCCCACACCATCACCCACGTTTCTTTCACCTCCAGCCCTGTCACTGTCCGAGGCAGTTGAAGAAATGGATCCCTGAAAAAAATACAAGTTAGGATGTCTAATATCAAGTACAATGTGCTTATTCAGTGCACATATATTTCATTATACAGGCGCTGTGTAACTCTTGTGGGTTACGCTTTCCCATAAACATCACTTGGGCAAAATAACCAGTGAAAAAACTGTGATTTTCCAAACGTTTTCGTGATATCTCACATTATCGAGGAATCTGATGTGAGAAATCACGAAAGCGGTTGGAAATTCACTATTTTTTCATTGGTTATTTTGCATATTGTGATATCACCTGTTTACTATGATCTTAATATATATATCACTTGCATATTACTAGATTATCGTTGTGATTATCAGGTAAGGAACAACACAGTCACTGGCTCTGAAATCAGTAAATACAGAAAGTGAGAGAGGTTGCCTATATAATTTTGATAGAGAAGTTATGAACACTTCTCCATCTATATAATAACTGCACAGGGATTGAGGCAAATAGACCAGGCAGGCTAAAGTTCTGGACTCTGCGCTCTGGAAACAGAGCCAGAGCATGAGTGATGGTGCATGCGTTTCCTTCTTTGGATCATGTTATTTTGGTTATAAATGGCAGATGTTTGTTTGTGTGTGTGTGTGTGTGTGTGTGAGGTAGGTAGGTATTTACACTACCTTTTTTTTAAAGTCTAAGGACCTGGTGGAGGAGGTGGGACTGTCTGGAGCCTCCAGCCAGCGGTGAAGCTTGTGCAGCTCCTGGTCCAGCTTGAGAGCTTCTCGCCGGTACACCTTGTTCTGCACCTCCGCCCGGTAATACTTCTCCCGCTTGTCCTCCGTCAGCAACCTGAAAGTGGGTAGACAGATGTGATGGAGTAAGAGGCCCCTGCGGGTAACTACTGCAGGCACTGTTCCCGTGTACTGCCTTGCAAACAAAATTTATCTGGAGTGTCAGAATAGCTAAGATGGTACGAAGATAATACTCAGTATCGACAAATGTTTAAAAATAAGAGGTTTATGGAATGTGGGGTAACTATCATACTGAAAATGGTATAAAATACCGACAAGTTGACAATTAAGCCACATGTGCAACAGATCGGTATCTTTATTACTTAAACGTTTCGCCTACACAGTAGGTCTCTTCAGTCAAATACATTTGCTGCCTCTGTATTTGACTAAAGAAGCCTACCGTGTAGGCGAAGCGTTCCAACAGTAAATTCAAATTCAAATTCAAACTTTATTCTCTATAAGTATTACAATGCTGAGTTTACAGAATTTGGTTATTGTGTGGTTTACATGTAGTAAAATAATAATTACAGAGTGTACCACTAGAACGCCTAGCATGGCTAGGCATTTCGGGCAGACTTATATTAAATCTTAGGTTTAAAATGTTACAGAATTATGAGATAAGTTGGTATTATGGCTAAGTGACTAAATACTAGTTGTGAGTTTAGCAATGTGAATGCTTTTGTTTTGACACTATACATAGTTTCAGTATTGGAGATACTCAACTCTTGCACACGTCTTACTCATCAACCTCATTATAGGAATTCTGCTAAATTATACAACCCACCACCAAACAAGTGACAGACAAGATTGTGAGTATAAGTAAAAGTCAGCAGTTATATATATATATATATATATATATATATATATATATATATATATATATATATATATATATATATTATATCCTCGAGGCTGCAAGACCAAAGTAAAGTCTTTGACTGTGGGGGATTTCAAAGATATTGCTGTCTGGGGGTTAGATAACTGTCAGAGCAGTTTTAGGTAAGGTTGCGATTGATCCAGGAATAGAGATTTTTCTGCATTTTTCAAATATGTTTAAAACTGCTTTAAAGTGAGGATTAGGAATATCTACAATAGTTTTAAGTGAGTTTAAGAAATGATTAAGACAGTTTTATACAGGGTTCACAATTCAAACATTTTGTAGGGTTCAAAACTGGTCAGTTAGGTGGGGGAGCAAGAATGGATAAGAGTTTTTTTTTAGTTCGGGAATAAGTATGACAGGTTTCTCTGGAATTAAAATGGAAAGTGTTTCAATAAAATTCCGAAAAATGAAAAATTATCTTTTTTTTTTTTTGTAAGTTTTGATCATGTTTAGCTAGATGGAGCTCATGAGTACTAAAGAAATTAGATTTTCTTCATATTTTCGTCTGAGAAGCGAGTGTATGGTGGCGCCACTCATCCTGGGAGTGAAAATACCTCCATAAGTGTATATATCAGCCCACATAATGGGCGAAACGTTATCCAAATTAATGTTTTCTCAGCTCAGGCTGAGAGAGTATAAAATCTGTAGAAACCGGTTACAGTCATCGCAGTTGAAGTCCAAATTGCTGACACGCTATTGGTGATATCGAAAAGTTGGAAAACTGTGTTTTACGGATATTCTGGCGCTGAAGTGGGTAATAATATCATTGTTGGAGGAGAATTTTGAGTTGGAGTTGACTGTCAGAACCTCGTGACCTGTCCACCTCAACTTTCACAAACTTGTTGGGTGGATGAAAGGAGGTACAAGTGGGTGGAGTGTGACGACGGTTTAGATGTGGTGAGGAGGAAGAGGTGGAAGGGAGATGTGGAGCGGTTTGGAGAGGCAGTAGGACGTTGAGAGAGGCAGTGAGAGGTTTAGAGAAAAAGGTGGGAGGGGATTGCAGGATGGATGTTGGGGGAGAGGACGCCGTGGCAGTATAAAGTGTGTTTGTATTTCTTCAAGAAGCCTTGGGGAAGGGAGCAAAACAAAGGAGGGAGTTTAGGGTTATTGTAACGGCACAAGTTTTGCTGTTTACCCTCCGAGGGAAGGAGAGGCTGGGAATACAGGAGGGAAAGGGAGATGGAAAGGAGAAGAGAAGAGAGAATGAAAGATAGAGGAGAGGCAGAAATGAGGAAAATTATATATTATACATATATATATAATATATATATATATATATATATATATATATATATATATATATATATATATATATATAATATATATATATATATATATATAATATATATATATATATATATATATATATATATAAATATATATATATATAATATATATATATATATATATATATATATATATATATAATATATATAATATATATATATATAATATATATAATATATATAATATATATATATATATATATATATATATATATATATATATATATATATATATATATATATATATATATATATATATATATATATATATATATATATATTCGGATTCAGAGTAGATATGAGATACTAGTGATTTTACGAAAGTTGTGAAGTACACTGCTAAATAGCGTCGATGAAGAAAATAATTGGCAGGACCTGCCTAGCGTACTAGCCTGGGCTAGGAGGCCTAATGTATAGCTCCTGTGATCTTAGGGTTGAACCTGCACTGAGTACAAAAGACCGCAGGTGATAAGAAGACACGCTGCAGAACAAGGTTTCCCTAGGACAACGTTACAGTCTATGTACGCCATCATCTTGATATGATAAAACTATACAGAGCTAAAAATTTGTCCCAAAGAACGCTTTTTCTAACTGTTATAAATGGTACACAATACTGACAGGTTTGTAAGCAGCACGTGTATTGCTTAAGTGTTATTATAGTAACGTTTCGTCTGCGCAGCAGGCTTCTTGGGTTGAATGCAGGCGATTATACTTTTGCCGTCAAATAATTACCTCTCCACTTTACCCATATCCAGTGTTATAATCGTCTGTATTTGAGGAGTTTACTGCGCAGGCAAGATTTTTCCACATAGATACACAAGTGTTGCACATGCAACCCTGGAATTTGTCTTCTCTTATCACCAGTGTCCTCCAGTTGTATAGAGTCTCCAGGTAAGTTTGGTTGCAGTGAGCGGGAGCAATATCCTGCTTCGTGTGCAAGTTTCCTTACACTCTCTCACCGTCCTTATAACCCTCCTTCCATTACTCTGGATACTGTAGTCATCTTCCTGTCTCCATGCTGGTAAACAGAACAACTGAAGACAACCGACTTTATAACACGAAGTCTTCATTGACTCATTGCTCAAGGGCCTTCGGTTTACATCTGTAGGACCTGGGATCGATCTCAGGTAGAAACAGTGGGCATGTTCCCTTACTCTTGCGAACACCTTGGTCTTGGGTGGGTGGTATTCTGGTGAAGAGGATCAAACGACCTCAATGGAAATAAGGCACAGTCTTTCTTGGATTATCCTGGGGTTACCAACACTCCTGGTTAATAATTTGTACGACGCTCTAAAAATGGGCGAATCTTTCAGTGACAGACGGTGGGGGTTCGATTCCCACACCCAGGGTTGTATCTTTCATTCTTCCTCTCATTCAAGTGAGGGTGTCGATGTTGAATGGCTCTTGATTCAGAGATACTGGAACTACCATCCATCCTCCTCCATTCCCACCTGATAAACATGGGATGGGGAGGAACTGGGAGTTGTTCTGACACGGGTTGGAGTGAAGGATTGGTGAAGGGATAACGGACAGTGAGAAGAAGGGAAGTCTTCGTTCCTAGGGGATAGCAAACCTGTAATTGTAGGTGCATCTAAGAGGACAATCTTGCGTGACATGATGGGTGAGAGGTCGATTCTACAGGAGTTAGAACTCACTCTTACTCAGTTAGTGTGATGTTGAGGATTGGAAGAGCGAGAGAATAAGGCATGGGTCTCATGCAGATAGAGGGGAAGAGGGTGGTGGAGGAGGGGAGGAGTTGATGCAAGGGACACAGGATGAGGAACTTGGCAAGATGGTTAGCAGGATAGTGATAATAATTTCTGAAGCAGACGTCACCATGGCCAGCGACCTCACTTCTACACTTGGGACCACAACAGTAATTACTATTACCACTAGGCAAACTATAGAACACTACACAGAACGTCAAGGAATACTACCACAAAGCAACTACTACGTACCACACACCTAACAGAACACTCGTATACCAGCACGAGGCACTACTAGCAAGGACACTACCACCAGCACGATACTACCACCACCAGCAACAGTAGTACCAGCTCTATACCAAGCAACTACACCACCACAGCAACTCTACCAGCCACCAGCAACACTACTACACCACCAAACTACCACCACCAGCAACACTATACACCACAGCAACAGACACTCGCAACACTAACTACCAGCACACTACACCACACCACGCAACTATTACCACCACCAGCAACACTACACACCAGCAACACACTACCACCACAGCAAACTTCACATCACTCTACCACCAGCAACACTACTCCACCACCAGCAACACTACTACCACCACCAGCAACACTACTACCACCAGCAACACTCACCAGCAACACTACTACCACCAGCAACACTACTACCACCACCAGCAACACTACTACACCACCAGCAACACTACTACCACCACCAGCAACACTACTACCACCAGCAACACTACCACCACCAGAAACACTACTACCACCACCAGCAACACTACTACCACCACCAGCAACACAACACACCACCAGCAACACTACTACCACCACCAGCAACACTACTACCACCACCAGCAACACTACCACCACCAGCAACACTACTACCACCACCAGCAACACTACTACACCACCAGCAACACTACCACCACCAGCAACACTACTACCACCACCAGCAACACTACCACCACCAGCAACACTACTACCACCACCAGCAACACTACTACCACCACCACCACACACTACTACCACCACCAGCACACTACTACCACCACCAGCAACACTACTACCACCACCAGCAACACTACCACCACCAGCAACACTACTACCACCACCATCAACACACTACTACCACCACCAGCAACACTACTACCACCACCAGACAACTACTACCACCACCAGCAACACTACTACCACCACCAGCAACACTACCACCACCAGCAAACCACAACTACTACCCACCACCCAGCAAACTACAACAACTACTCCACCACCAGCAACACTACACCCACCAGCAACACTACTACCACCACCAGCAACACTACTACCACCACCAGCAACACTACTACCACCACCAGCAACACTACTCACACCACCAGCAACACAACACCACAGCACATACCCCACCAGCAACACTACTACCACCACCAGCAACACTACTACCACCACCAGCAACACTACCACCACCAGCAACACTACTACCACCACCAGCAACACTACTACCACCACCAGCAACACTACCACCACCAGACACATCCACCACAGCAACATACCACCACCAGCAACACTACTACCACCTACCAGCAACACTACCACCACCAGCAACACTACTACCACCACCAGCAACACTACTACCACCACCAGCAACACTACACCACCACCAGCAACACCACATACCTACCACCAGCAACACTACTACCACCACCAGCAACACTACTACCACCAAACACACACACACACACACTACCACCACCAGCAACACTACTACCACCTACCAAGCAACACTACTACCACCACCAGCAACACTACCCACCAGCAACAACTACACCACAGCAACACTACTACCACCACCAGCAACAACTACCACCACAGCACACTACACCCCAGCAACACATACTCACCAGACACTACCCAAGCAAACACTACTACCACCACCAGCAACACTACTACCACCACCAGCAACACTACTACACAGCACACTATACCACCACCAGCAACACTACCACCACCAGCAACACTACTACCACCACCAGCAACACTACCACCACCAGCAACACTACTACCACCACCAGCAACACTACTACCACCACCAGCAACACTAGCACCATCACCATAATCCAGAGGAACGAGTGTATTTAGGAAAAGAATGCTTATTGATATTATGGAGTTCAGCAATACCAAGAAAGTCAATTAAAAAGATCAGAAAAATCAAGCAAGACGTTGAAGAAACACATTTAGAAACACTGGGTAATGAAAGACAAACAGGGGGGAAAATACAGAAGAAAAACTTTCCTGAATATGTATCATAACTTGATCAGAGAGAATGTTACAAGAACTTCTTGATGGCGGTAAGCAGAAACAAATGAGAAAAGCAGCAATGCAGTAGCGTACGTAATAAGGCTAACAGACTGCTTGGATTTATATTAATACGCAAGAGGAACAAAAAGAGCTCAAAAGGAATTCTTTAGTAAGACAGAATTGCAACACTTAGGTATCTTTCTTGACGAAAAGTTTCGTCTACGAAGCAGTCTTAATCTAATATAAAGTTGATTACAACACGTCTGCTGTACAGGTGTAGCGTTCCGTCTATAATGATGCCCAAATACTGGACCTATTTATACCATTTCAATGTGCTTTACACATCATTTGTAGTCTCTTTATATTATGAGGCGCAGTTGTAATTTTTGCAGTACAGAATGGATATACATGTAAGTGTATTGGAGAACTGTTTGGAGTGATGGACTCACCTGCGGGTGTTAGATTGGATCTTAAGTCCCATACTCTCCACGATGGGGTCACCCTCCGCACGTCTCATTATGGTGAGGATCTGCAATAAGGGTAACTGTCACTAATATACACCTGTTACACCCTACACACCTTCATGCTCTTCACCTTGGGAACAGGAGCTACTCTCCTCTTCCTTTGTATGCACTGGGGTTAGTGTTATTTGTGTAAATAACAGAATACATTACATGGCTTTATGAATTAATTACGTGCATGCATTACATCCTGTCAGGTAGTGTTCCTACTCTCTCTCTCTCTCTCTGGCGAAAGTGACTCACCTTAGGGATGAAGAGTAAACAAAGTGTTGTGGTTGTTGACGTGAAGATGAGGGTAGTAATGATGACATAAGCAAGGGTGGTCCTCTCTCCGATGATGTTAGCGGCCACGATGACGATGATGGACGTGATGACTACGTTGTACACACTCATCCCGATGTACTGGGAGTCGTTCAGTGCCGGGATTTTCACGTGCCTGAGAGACAGACAGACAGACAGACACACACACGCACTGGTTAGTTATGACTCACTTCAATTGTAAGGTGACTTGGTAACCATGTCCTAATTGCAGTAACGTGTTCGCACCTTACTTAACCCAGAAATCATTTCATATCTATAGTAACTTCCTCGGTAACTATGTCCTCGCTATAATGGCGTGTCCCAGTTGCTACATCCTCACTCCTCTCTACAACACCTCTCTCCACAATGGAACATACGGATCTGTAACTAAGTATTTATTTAAAGATAAATTTACTACAAGTATACAAACTTTTACTCTCTGGTCTGAGTTCGCGTCTTGAGGCTCCAGCCAAGAGCTCATCTGAAGTAAAGAATTCCCCTGCTGTACAAAAATTTTCACAACGTAAGTTCTGTACGTAAAGGAACAATGGCTGGAAGCTTGGAAAAACCAGGACTGGACTAGAATATTAACATGCGAGGTGTATTTCTGTGTTAGTTACCTCCCTGTCGAAGACAATTTACGAAAGATATGTAGTTGTGGTTGCAGGGGTCGAGTCATAGCTCCTGGTCCCGCCTCTTCACTGGTCGCTACTGGGTCACTCTCCCTGAACCATGAGCTTTATCATACTTCTGTGTGTGTGTGTGTGTGTGTGTGTACGTACTCACCTATAAGTGGTTGCAGGGGTCCAGGGTTTGTATTTGTGTGTGTGTGTGTGTAAATTCACACAATACTCGCCTTTTTTCATCGCAGGGATCGTGTCTCGGCTCCTTGTCTTCCTCCTGACCGGCCGCTTGCCGGGTTAACTTCCTTTTGGCCTCGTGGGACCTAAAATATCTAATCTCCAAATCATTTACTGAGCTTCCATCATTTCTTGGTACAGGTTATTCCGCTTCTTGACCACCCTGAAGCTGAAGATATACATCCTGACATCCCTGTGGCTCATTTGCATTTTGAAATTCCAACTGTGCCCTCGTGTACTAGTTTTCCGCCTCTCATGCGGTTTATCACTGTGAATCCTATTAAGTTCTCTGAGTACTTAGTATGCAATTAAAATGTCTTCATTGGCTTTCCTACCCCCTATTATCGTCAGATTCATTTTCCTCAAAGTTTAGTTTCCTTGCAAACCTCTGCATTTTCTCCAGTTTCTCGACATGCTTTATCAGTTGTGGCTTCCATGTTGGTGCTGTAAGCTTGATGTACCTGACATACGTACTATAGTGTCCCGAACGATTCTTCGTTGAGAATCCTGAAAGCTAATCTTAGATTTGCCAAACACACATTCTTTGCAGTTCGACTAGACAAAAAAATATAAACCAGGGATATCAAAATTATCAAAAGCCTAGAATAACAGAAAAAACATTTCTGGGTTTCTTGAACTTGACTTTCTGCATTTTGGTAAATGTTATGAAGCCTCGGGCGAGTCTTCCTCAGTGGCTGAGGCTTCCTAAGTTCGTGCCAGTACAAGACCACTTGTGTGCCGAGTGCTACTCTCACACTCTTATATTTAACCTGAAGTTTGTGGAGTTGGGGCCATGCATGGCAGTGGTAGTGGTTGTGAGGTATGAGGGAGGTGAGACAGGCACACAACACTTCACTCTCAGAACTTTGCTAAGTGGGTGACATCTTGTCTAATTATCGTGAAAGGTGCCCTGGTGTGTGTGTGTGTCTGGGTGACACCTCACCTTTCACATCTAGGTGAGGTGTAGCACTTTACCTCTCACGTCTAGGTGAGGTGTAGCATCTTACCTCTCATGTCTAGGTGAGGTCTAGCACCTCGCATCCTACATTCAAATGAGGTGTTACTCCTCATATTTAGCCGATGTGCTGCACCAACAGCAGAAGTAGCATCAGCAATAGCGGCAGCAGCAACACCAACAGCAGTAGCAACACCAGTAGCAACAGCACCAATAATGGTAGCAGGCATTAAAGAGCAACGCTAACAAAAGGTAAAAAAAAAAATATTCCTTTCAAACTAACTGCACACACAACTCCTACGTTCATCCCAATGAACGGTGATAGGAATAATTAGAACGCCTCATTGCCTATTCATTAGGTTTCCAAGTGGCGCCCCACCCCAGGTACACCAGTGATAAGACCGCTTCAGATATATCAATAATACCGCACCAGGTGCATCAATAAGACTGTCCCAGGTGCATCAATAAGACTGTCCCAGGTGCATCAATAAGACTGCCCCAGGTGCATCAATAAGACTGTCCCAGGTGCATCAATAAGACTGTCCCAGGTGCATCAATAAGACTGCCACAGGTGCATCAATAAGACTGTCCCAGGTGCATCAATAAGACTGTCCCAGGTGCATCAATAAGACTGCCCCAGGTGCATCAATAAGACTGCCACAGGTGCATCAATAAGACTGCCCCAGGTGTATCAATAAGACTGCCCCAGGTGTATCAATAAGACTGCCCCAGGTGTATCAATAAGACTGCCACAGGTGCATCAATAAGACTGCCACAGGTGCATCAATAAGACTGCCCCAGGTGTATCAATAAGACTGTCCCAGGTGCATCAATAAGACTGCCCCAGGTGCATCAATAAGACTGTCCCAGGTGCATCAATAAGACTGCCCCAGGTGCATCAATAAGACTGTCCCAGGTGCATCAATAAGACTGCCCCAGGTGCATCAATAAGACTGCCCCAGGTGCATCAATAAGACTGCCCCAGATGCATCAATAAGACTGCCCCAGATCCATCAATGATAAGTGCCTCAGGTCCATCAGTATGACTGTCCAAAGTAAATGAATGGTCAACAGACACATAGGATGGTCAACAGACACATAGGATGGTCAACAGACACATAGGATGGTCAACAGACACATAGGATGGTCAACAGACACATAGGATGGTCAACAGACACATAGGATGGTCAACAGACACATAGGATGGTCAACAGACACATAGGAGGGTCAACAGACACATAGGATGGTCAACAGACACATAGGATGGCCAACAGACACATAGGAGGGTCAACAGACACATAGGAGGGTCAACAGACACATAGGAGGGTCAACAGACACATAGGATGGTCAACAGACACATAGGATGGTCAACAGACACATAGGAGGGTCAACAGACACATAGGATGGTCAACAGACACATAGGGGGGTCAACAGACACATAGGATGGTCAACAGACACATAGGATGGCCAACAGACACATAGGATGGCCAACAGACACATAGGATGGCCAAGACACACAGAATGGTCAACAGACACATAGGATGGCCAACAGACACATAGGATGGTCAACAGACACAGACACATAGGATGGTCAACAGACACATAGGATGGCCAACAGACACATAGGATGGCCAACAGACACATAGGATGGCCAACAGACACAAAGGATGGCCAACAGACACATAGGATGACCAGACACATAGGATGGTTAACAGACACATAGGATGGCCAACAGACACATAGGATGGCCAACAGACACATAGGATGACCAACAGACACATAGGATGGTCAACAGACACATAGGATGGCCAACAGACACATAGGATGGTCAACAGACACATAGGATGGTCAACAGACACATAGGATGGTCAACAGACACATAGGATGGTCAACAGACACATAGGATGGTCAACAGACACATAGGATGGTCAACAGACACACAGGATGGTCAACAGACACACAGGATGGTCAACAGACACATAGGATGGCCAACAGACACATAGGATGGCCAACAGACACATAGGATGGCCAACAGACACATAGGATGGTCAACAGACACACAGGATGGTCAACAGACACATAGGATGGTCAACAGACACATAGGATGGTCAACAGACACATAGGATGGTCAACAGACACATAGGATGGTCAGACACATAGGATGGTCAACAGACACATAGGATGGTCAACAGACACATAGGATGGTCAACAGACCCATAGGATGGTCAACAGACACATAGGATGGTCAACAGACCCATAGGATGGTCAACAGACCCATAGGATGGTCAACAGACACATAGGATGGTCAACAGACCCATAGGATGGTCAACAGACCCATAGGATGTCAACAGACCCATAGGATGGTCAACAGACCCACAGGATGGTCAACAAACCCACAGGATGGTCAACAGACCCATAGGATGGTCAACAGACCCACAGGAATGTCAACAGATCCATAGGATGGTCAACAGACCCATAGGATGGTCAACAGACCCATAGGATGGTCAAAAAAAATATCAAAGCCAGACTCGGTATATGTAATAAAAAAATCGAGTTAACCGAGGAGAAAGCGTTAATTGGAAAAAATGCAACACGCCCTTTGTCACGGAAAAGAAAACGCAATATGAGGTGAACTTTCACGCTGCAGGTAAAATATTGTACAGGAGAGGAAGGTGAAGGTGCAGGAGGAGAGGAAGGTGAAGGTGCAGGAGGAGAGGAAAGTGAAGGTGCAGGAGGAGAGGACGGTGAAGGTGCAGGAGGAGAGGAAGGTGAAGGTGCAGGAGGAGAGGAAAGTGAAGGTGCAGGAGGAGAGGACGGTGAAGGTGCAGGAGGAGAGGAAGGTGAAGGTGCAGGAGGAGAGGAAAGTGAAGGTGCAGGAGGAGAGGAAGGTGAAGGTGCAGGAGGAGAGGAAAGTGAAGGTGCAGGAGGAGAGGAAAGTGAAGGTGCAGGAGGAGAGGAAGGTGAAGGTGCAGGAGGAGAGGAAAGTGAAGGTGCAGGAGGAGAGGAAAGTGAAGGTGCAGGAGGAGAGGAAAGTGAAGGTGCAGGAGGAGAGGAAAGTGAAGGTGCAGGAGGAGAGGAAGATGAAGGTGTAGAAACCATAATTAAGATACATTAAAATTCATGTAGAAAGTGGGGATAAATTATTTTATAAAAATGACACAAATTGCACTTTAAGGGGAAACTGAACAAAAATTTTTTTATTATGAAATAAAAAAAAAGTATTTTTCGAAAATATTTTCACATTTTATGAAGTTTTTCCAAACGATTCTAGCATTCTCTAAGCTTTTCCACATGAGTTATTCAGCACCAGAAGTGGTGAAG